TCACAGGAAGAATGGCTGTTGTGAGACACCAGACCCCTCTTCTGGTGCATCCTTCATGATTGTGTGGAACTTTAGGCAAGTTGCATGTTCACTCTGATTTCCAGTTTTCCAGTCTGTGGAGTATGGAGACTGTGGTGGTTAAGATAGTGTGTCAACTTGGCTGGGCCATGATTCTCAGTGGTTTGGCAGTCATATGATGTTGTGATAACTTCCATGATGAGATCTGATATAATGTGATCACCTCCGTGATGGGATCTGCTGTGAGTAGCCAGTCAGTTGAAAGGGAGTTTCCTTCAGCATGTGGCCTGCATCAAATATAACTGGACATTCTGGCAAGGCTTTTGGGCTTTTGCTTGTTCTGGATCCTGCAGCTGGTTCCTGTTTGTCAGACCTCTGGCTCTTGGGACTTGAGCTAGCAGCTTACCTGCGGTCTTGCCTGCCGATATTGGGATTTGTCTGTCTTAGCAGCCTATGAGCAAGAGCCCTGTTCTCTGACCTGCCAATCTTGGGTTCGCCAGCCCCTTCAGCTACGTGAATCAGGAGAAACCTCTATCCTGATATATGGATTGGGACGTTCCAGCCTCTACAACTGTGTGAGCCATTTCCTTAATATAAATCTCTATATATATTTATACGCTTTACTGGTTTTGCTTCTCTAGAGAACCCAGCCTAAGGCAGAGACTAATCTTATTTATTCCTTCAGGGAAATTGAGAGGATAGAAATGAGTAAAAGAATAGGTTTTGGGGTATGGGGTGGCAATAGAGTGAGGTAAGGTTGAGGGGAAAGTCACTTACTGAATACAGTAATAGTTATTATTAGAAGTGGTAAACTTCTAGTAAGACTCAAGAGCTTTGGGAAGAAATTACAGATTTATAGAAGATAATAATACTGTATTGGTTCTCTAGGTGGCACATTTAAGCACTTGACTACTAGCTGAAAGGTTGATGGGTCAGACCCACCAGAGGTGTCTGGTGATCTGTTTCCAAAAGGTGACAGCCTTGAAAACCCTGTGAAACAGTTCTACTCTGCACACATGAGGTCGCTATGAGTTGGAATCGACTTGACGTCAAAGAACAGCAACAACAACCTTAAAGTGTTGTTTCTGTGATGTAACCAGTGATCAGATGTTGATTGATCAGCTGCTCTGTGCGAGGCTGTATCTTGGGCAGGGTGAGAGAGACAGTTTTTTTTTTAACTTATTGTTTAATTATTTTTAATAGAAAAAGGTATGTATTATTATATTTGTGTTATTACAAAATTCAAACAGTATACATATAGTAAAAATACCTTTTTGTGTCAGGGTAATAAAGTGGTTGAGAACATGCATTCTGTGGCTACACTACCTGGACTTGAATCTCACCTCCACCACTTACCAGCTGTGTGACCTTGGGCAAGATACTTTACCTCTCTATACTTTGGTTTACTTCTCTTTAAAATGGGGCCAGTAATACTTCCTACCTCATCAGGTTATTGTGAGAATTAAATGAATTAAATTACATGAGAACTGTAAACAGTTCTCTGGCACATGGGTAACACTCAAGTGTGGCTAATATTAATATTATCACCTGCCCAATCCTGGTACTCTCAGAACAGTAGCCACAGTTCCCAACCTATTTCTATGGATTTAGCTTTCTTTTGCTTGTTTTTTTTAAAATATAGTTTCTTATAATAAGTTCATATTTACACTAACAAATCTATATTGATACCAAATGTGTCTCCAGCTGTGAACCTCTTTGACACTGATTTGCTTTGGGTAGTCAGAGTAATATTCCACTACACAAACAAACAAAAGACTTGATGTACATTTGTTCTTAGCAAAGTCACAGATAGTGGGCTTCTGTTAAGCATTAAAAGAGAATACTTGACAGTCTTGGGGAGATTGGGTCTGGCGTGAGGTCTAGGAGATGGGTACTGAAGGAGTTAGTGGCTGCTATAGCCACTGGGGAATTTTTCAAAGAGGAGGAATTTCACAGTGCTAATATCAGTTACTTTAGAAATTTGGGTTTTGGAGGAAAGATACTATTTGCAGTGGCATTTAAAAGTAATGTTTTTTAAAAAACCAATTAAAATGTGCTGATTTATTTTATGTATGATATATTATTCCTTTTATGTCTTGGAAAAATGATCCAATGTCCCCAAAAGGTTTTATCACATCACCTTCCTTCCTACCAATACTTAGAAGAGTACTTTTTATAACACGTTAGAGAACAAGACAAATTTGAGAGTCTAGTAGATAAGTAACATTAAATACTAAACTTTTACCACTGCACGTGATTGTTATTTTTTTTTTTTTTGTTTGGTTCTGAACTGAATTGTTCAGAATTGAGTAAGAGAGGGAGAAAGATCAGAAATTATTAAAAAGATTACCAGATAAAGATTTCTGTTTATAGTTCTCATGTAATTTAATTCATTTATTTCTCACAATAACCTGATAAGGTAGGAAGTATTACTGGCCCCATTTTAAAGAGAAGTAAACTAAAGTACAGAGAGGTAAAGTATCTTGCCCAAGGTCACACAGCTGGTAAGTGATGGAGCTGAGATTCAAGTCCAGTAGTGTAGCCACAGAATGCATGTTCTCAACCACTTTATTACCCTGCCACAAAAAGGTACTTTTACTTTATGTATACTGTTTGAATTTTGTAATAACACAGATATAATGGCTCTATGAGGAACTCAAGCTTAGCTCATCCTCTCCTCCAGAGAAACAGCTATTAAACTGATCAAGATTACTTAAGCATTTAAAGTCTCTGGAAATTGACTAAAGGACATACAACAAATTGAGAAGCATTTATTCAAGAAAACCAATCTCTGAATTTTGATAAGAATAGTGACAAGTTATGGCGTTTGAGCCAGGACTGCCCCCCACTTCCAGCTTCCTGTTACAGAAGATTTATTTTGGATGGAAAAGGCAGACCATGAAGTCTGATAGATCCCATTCCTTCCAGCTTCTGGTCTAGGTATGTGGGCAGTCCATGAAGACCGCTGGCTCTCATAGCCTCCCAGCTCTGTTGTGGAAGATGGATTCTGAGTGGTCTTGGCAATGCCCACTTCCCCATCTCCTACTATATAGGAAGGTTTTAGGTGGGGTAGCTGATGAAGATCAGCAACTCCCATTCCCTAACCCCCCTACACCTCATCTCTGGATCCTTTGTGCACAGGGCTTTGAATCCATTTTATTCTGTTTGGAATCCCCACTGATAATTTGCATTTCTAACAAGTTCCCAGGCATTGCTAATGCTGCTGGTTAGGGACCAGTTCTGAAAACCACTAGTAGAGCAGTGGTTCTCAAAATTTATTATACATAAGAATCACCTAGGGATCTTGTTACAGTGTAGATTCTGACATTATGCTGAGTGAAATAAGTCACAAAAGGACAAATATTGTATGAGACCACTATTATAAAGAAACAAGAAAAGGTTTACACACAGAAAAAAAACATTCTTTGGTTACAGGGGATGGGAGGGGGAAGGAGGGAAAATTACCAATTAGAAGACAGATGTTAATATTGGTGAAGGGAAAGGCAATACAAAATATGGGTGAAATCAGCAGAACATGACCAAGGCAAGGGAGGACACTGAGAGGAACACAAGACTAAAGGGCAACAACAGCAGTTACTATAGCATAGAGGATCCTGCAACAATAGTATTAACAAACAATAATTTACAAATGGATACATATGTAGATAGGTATGCTAAAGAGATGTGGGAGAGTGTAAGGGAACATAACCCACCTGCAGGTATAGCTTTGGTGGTGGATATTTCTACATACATAACTGTAGGTGCTGCTTGTATATTAATATAGACAATAGAGCACATAAGGGCCACAGTCAGGGCAACTTCTTAGATACAACCAAGGACCTCGCAGGATGAAGTTCTTAGGGTCAGAGGTGAAGGACCATAGACTTGGGGGCTATCTACATCAGTTGGCATAACATAGTTCATAAAGACAAAGTTCTGCATCCTACTTTGGTGGGTAGTGTCTTGAGTCTTAAAAACTTGGGAATGGCCGTCTAAGATACAACTATCAGTCTCTTACCATCTGGAGCAAAGGAGAGTGAAGAAAACCAAATACTCAAGGGAGTAATTAGTCCAAAGGACTAATGGACCACATAAACCACAGCCTACACAACCCCGAGACCAGAAGAACTAGATGCTGCCTGGCTACCACTACTGACTGCTCTGACTGGGATCACAACAGAGTGTACCAGACAGAGCAGGAGAAAAACGTAGAACAAAAAATCGCATTCACAAAAAAGACCAGACTTACTGGTCTGACAGAGACGGAGAACTGCTCCCCCCCCCACCCCGCCCTGAGACTGTAGCCCTGAGACACCCTTCTGAAATGGAACTGAAGCCATTTCCAGAGACACCTTTCAGCCAAACCACAGACGGGCCCATAAAATAAACAGTAACCCCCGAGAGAAACGTGTTCCTTAGAACAATCAATTGTACGAAATGCAAAAGGGCAATTATTTGCCCAAAAGCAAAGAAGAGAAGGCAGGAAGGGGTAGAAAATCTGGATGAAAGGAAATGGGGGACCTAGGGAGGAGATGGGGAAAATGCTGACACATCGTGGGGAATGAAACTGTCTTAGTCATCTAGTGCTGCTATAACAGAAATACCACAAATGGACGGTTTTAACAAAGAGAAATTTATTCTCTCACAGTCCAGTAGGCTACAAGTCCAAATTCAGAGCATCAGCTCCAGGAGAAGGCTTTGTCTCTCTGTCGGCTCTGTCCTTGTGATGCATCAGTCTTCCCTTGGTCTGGGAGCATCTCAGTGGAGCAACCTCAGGTCCAAAGGTGCTCTCTGCTCCCGGCACTGCTCTCTTGGTGGTATGAGGTTCCCAACTCTACTTGCTTCCCTTTCCTTTTATGTCTTGTAAGATAAAAGGTGGTATAGGCCACACCCCAGGGAAACTCCCTTTACATTGAATTAGGGATGTGTCCGTAGTAAGGATGTTACAATCCCACCCTAATCCTCTTTAACATAAAATTACAATCACAAAATGGAGGACAACCACACAGTACTTTGAATCATGGCCCAGCCAAACTGATACACACATTTTTGGGGGGACATAATTCAATCCTTGACACTTTGAAATGAATGAAAGTGAAAACACGGCATACCAAAATATGTTGCACGTTGCTAAAACAGTGCTTAGAGGGAAATTTACAGCTGTAAATGCCTATATTTTTAAAAGAGAAGAAAAATCTCAAATCAATAAAATCTTCTACCTTAAGAAACTAGAAAAAGAAGAGCAAACTAAACACAAAGCAAGCAGAAAGAAATAGTAAAGATTAGAGTGGAAATAAAAAATAGAAAAGCAATAGAGAAAATTAAAAACAAAACAAGTTGCCTCTTTGAAATGGTCAGCAAAATTGACAAATTTTAGCTACACTGATCAAGAAAAAAAGAAGATTTCAAATTACTAAAATGAGGAATTATGGAAGAGACATCACTACTGCTCTTAGAGAAATTAAAAGGATTATAAGGGGATACTATGAACAACTCATACCTTACTGGTGGGAATATTAAAATGGTGCAGCCACTTTGGAAAACAGTCTGGTAGTTCCTTAAAAGGTTAAATATAGAGTCATCATGTGACCCAGTATTCCACTCCTAGGTACATACCCAAGAGAAATGAAAACAGAAGTCCACAAAAAAAACATGAGTGCTCATAGGAGCATTATTCGTAATAACCAAAAAGTGGAAACAACCCAAGTGTCCATCAACTGACAAATGGATAAATAAAATATGGTTTATCTATACAGTAGACTATTTATTCTTTGGCAATAAAAAGAACGAACTACCGACACATGGTGCAACATGGATGGACCTTGAAAACATTATGCTACGTGAAAGAAACCAGCCACAAAAGATCACATATTGGATAATTCCATTTATATAAAATGTTCAGAATAGTCAAATCTATAGAAACAGAAAGTAGTATTTGCCTAGAGCTAGGCATGGGAATGCGAATGACTGCTAATGGGCATGAAGCTGCTTTTTTCAAGTGATGGAAATGTCATAAAATTAGATTGTGGTGATGGTTACACAGTTCCTGTAAAAATATAAAAATCATTTTAATTGTACACTTAAAATGGGTGATTTTCTGACATGTAAATTGTATCTCAATAAAGTTGTTTAAAAAGATTAACACACAAATTGGTGTTAAACTGCAGTGTCAAGTTGTGTTTGGCTGGCTGTCTGCCTCTTTCTCTTTTTTGTCCCTCCTCCTATCCCACTCCAGCTGAGGGACAAGATGCCATTCTGTTTAGTCAAGTCTTTAAAATTATATATTTCTCTGTGAAGCTTTATATTTTTCTTAATTCAATCAGTTGCCTAGGAGATAGTGAGTCTGAGGGATCAAGAAGACACCGTTTTCCTGGGGATGACCTAAATATTAGATAATTGATTTGAGAAGGGTGGAAAACTGGCTGTGGCATTCTATTGTTCATTTCTTGAGAAAAAATGAGATTCCCTGTAAATCAAAAACCAAACCTCTTATATTCTAAATTATGTGTTTCATAGAGAGAGTCTTTGCTAGAAAGGAAAACCCATTTATGTTTCCAATTTTTCTTGCCATTGTCAGTAACTCTGCGATGGCTATTTTTGTTCATAAATCTTATCTGTAGCTCTGATGATTTCTTTAGGAATGATTCTTAGATGTGGAATTACCGGACAAAAGCATGTATATATTTTATGGGACTTTGATTCATATTATCAAATTGATTTCCTGAAGGCTTGCACCAAATTGCAGTACCACCAGAACTGGTGAGAGTGCATCTTAGTTTTTTAAGCTTGAAGTTCTTTGATGAATAGAGTGCTTGATCGTTTTTGCTTCTGCCATTTGTTCATATTCTTTGCTCTTTATACTGAGATTGTTCTGTTTTTTCTTACTGATGAGTGTGAGTGTTATTCCTTTGTCATTTGTGGCAAATTTTGCTTCCTGGTTTGTTCACTTTTCATTTTATTGTGATAGATTTTGATGTACAAGAGTAGTACATTTTTATGTAGAGTAGTATATTGATGTTTTTTCCTTTTGTGATTTCTGCTAATAAATTCTCATCTAATTTTTCTTTTCTTTTATATTGGCTTTATTTATTGCTTTAATTTTTAAATCTATATGGAATTTTGATGTATGAGCTTAGTATCCAAATTGATTTCTATTTTGAAATAGCCACTTTTCCAGGACAATTTATTGAATAATCCAGCCCCTCTCCATTAATTTCTGATACCTCGTTTGTCATATAATCTTATTATACATATTAGGGTCTTTTTTCTGGACTTCCAGTTCTCTACCATTAATTTCTCTCACCATTCTTGTATCAATATTGTTAACTAACTTGGCTTTATAGGACTTCTAATATATAATATGGCAAGCTTTTGTCCTTCCTGTTATCATTCTTAATTTTCAAAAAAATTAGCTATTTTTCACATTTATTTTAGAATCGTGTTATTAAATTTAAAAAGTCCCATTGGGATTTAGATTTCAATTGCGTTAAAATTATAAGTCAATGTCGAAAGAATTGAAACTTTTCCACCATTTTTTGTTTAAAAGTTTTTTTATTGTCATACAAACCATCTTCATATACAAGCACATAAGTGATAAACTTTTCTGTCTCCAGTCCTTCTCACCAAACATCACAGTAGACCAATTCTTGCTAATGTATCACCAAAGTAAACATAATATCCACTTCTGAATTCTTAACAGCTAATTGTAGTCATCTGATAACATGGTATGTCACTCTATTTAGACAAGTCTTGGTTATAGTTTTAGTTGTGCAGTCTTGCTTCTTATAAATGTAATTCCAAGATAGATTGTGGTTATTGTTGGTTTTTATAAATAGGATCTTCCCCCCTCATTTTTTTTCTTATTGATGATACATAGAAGAATTTAACTTTGAATATTTTCTTTATAACAGCCTTTTGTAGAACACTCTTGTTAACTCAAAAAATTTCCTCTTTTCTATTAAGAGAATTGTTAGTATTGATCAGTCACTAGCTTTCAAAGAATTGATGAGTGGGTGGGTGGTAATTACGAAATACTACATTTGAGCAAATGACATTTTATAAACAAAAATTTAACTCAGATAGAGCTTTAGAGTTTATGGAGAGAAAGAGACTGAAAGATTCATTCACTCCTTAGAACAATCCTGCAAAGGGTGGTAGAGGAAGCATCATTGTCAGTCCATTTTAAAAATAGGAAACTGAGGTGGGAAGAAGTGAAATGACCTCCCCAAGGCATCAATAAAAGGCAGAGATGGAAGGTCTTTTGCTGCTGCCTTCATCACAAAACAATAAATGCAATAATATGAGTAATGGCATCAGAAAACCTGAGTGAATGGCTGATCACAAATGATTATTTTTGGACACTTGTGGCTGCATTTCATTATGTTAATGTACTTATATTCTTCTTTGGGCTATTTTGAGGTGTATTTACGTTTTGATTTTCTTTACTAGATTGTAAGCTCCTTGAAGGAGGAAGCCACATCTTACTCATCTTGGAACCAACTTTAATTGTTGAATTGTATGTACGTGCATTCACACACCCGAATCCTTCTGAAGGAGCTCTGGTGGCGCAGTGGTTAAGCACTCGGCTGCTAATTGAAGGGTGGGTAGTTCGAATCCACCAGTGACTCTACTGGAGAAAGACCTGGTGATTTGCTCCCATAAAGATTACAGCCTAGAAAACCCTGTGGGGCAGTTCTGCCCTGTCACATGGGGTCGCTATGAGTTGGAATTGACTTGGCGACACCCAACAACAACCCTTTTGAAAGACAAGTTACTAAAAAGAAAACTACCAGAGGCAGAACAAGCTTATTAAGTTATATATTTAAGGAGAAAAGCTGTAGTTCTCTGATTCAGAGAAATTGCCTTTGTCTCCTGAGAGCTGAGGGGAGACTTATTAAGTGTCTGGTTTTGGAAGTGGATCGTGAGAATAAGTACTGAACCTAGCTCTGGGCCTGCTAATGGGCGGTGAGCAGAGTGAGAAGGCTAAATATGGCTCTAAAGGAAGAGATTTGAACTAGATCTTGAGTTAAAGAGATTGAAAGTGAAGTTCAGTTACAAGGGTCATTCTGTGCTTCAGAGAAGGTGCCTAAATTTTTCACATTTACTTGTATAACGTGAGATGAAAGCGAGAGAATGCACCCAGGGCAAGGGAAGGTTAGGATTTTATGTGGTCATTTTAATCGATTTTTGATTTTACACCTCACCCTAAGGTTTTTTAGGTGAAAGTGCATACAGTTGAATTTATTTTATGTACAATGATGTATCCACTCTTGCCTTTCTGTTGGAGTATTAGAGCCAGGACTTAGCTTTTCCTCCCCCTTCTGGGCTTCTCACACCCTGATGTTTGGTTGCTCATCACCATCTTTGTCAGAGCCAGGGAGAGAAAGTTAAAATGTTTATCAAAAGGGATGTTTGGTTTATGTGATTAGATGTCAGTTTTGGTTGTTTGGAACCCAGTGTTATGAATGAGCATTAATTGGTATTGTGTTTAAGATTTCCATTTCAGAAAAATCTACCTGTGTAACCACCTCCAAAGGAGCCCTGGTGGTACAGTGATTAAGCGCCTGGCAGCTAACCGAAAGCTTGGCAATTTGAACCCACCAGCTGCTCTGTGGGAGAAAGATGTGGCAGCCTACTTCCGTAAAAATTATAGCCTCGGAAACCCTGTGGGGCAGTTCTGCTCTGTCCTATAGGGTCACTATGAGTCGGAATCGACTCGACTGCGATTTTTTTTTTAAACCACCTCCAATTCGCTTGTTGAAGATGGTAACTCTGGAGTGGGGAGGCTGAGCTCTCCCAGCGGTGCCCCCTGTGCAGGATTCCAGATGGAAGGCCAGTGAGGGACCTCTCCCCGCCCTTGTTCTCTTCTTGCCTTCCCTTCTCCCTAAGGTTGATAGGGATGGATTCTTCAGTATTGTCATCCTTTGCAAAGGAAAATCAAATTTCCACAGTGTTCTGCCACTGAATTTTTCCTTTATTTCTTTTAATCCTTTTCTAGGTCATGTTAATTTGACAGACTAAAACAAACAAATGAACACAGCATGCTATTAATATTTATATTTTTAAAAATGTTGTTTAGGAAAAAAATGACACCAATTGTTTTATATTTGACTTTTCCAAAGCTTTAAAACAACTCTCATGATATCAGTAGGAGTAGTTTTTTTTTCCCTAAAGAAATCAGCTTTCTTTGTAATTTATTTTCGACTAAACGGTTGAGATAAAAGGTAAGACACTTGAAGTTACGTATAAAGAGAAAAAATAACCAAGTTACTGATGTGCCTAGCAACACGGTGTGGGCAGGAATAGGCAAACCAAGATGAGCCAGGAATAAAAATTCTGTACCTAGTTCATACAGGTATATACATTAAAAAATATTTTACACTCTCCTTCCTAAGCTTTAGTCCTGTAGCTCTCTGTCCTTCCTCAGAATTCATGTGCAATTCATATTAATGTTAGAAACTCCTTCCCACCCTCCCTCCTTCCTTTATTCCTTCTTGTTTTCCTCTGGCTCCCTTTTCATCCCTCTCTCCCTTATGCCTCACTCTTTAAGCTGTATCCAGTCCTTGAGTGGGTCCCTAAGGTGTGGATAGATGTGTGTATATGTGCGTGTGTGTCATTCACTCTTATTTACCTTTGTGCGGGGTTGACAGGAATAACGTGGATCATTGAAATCCAGGATGACCCACAGAAACCCTTCTACAGCTTAACTCTAAGTCTACAGTTTTACTATAAATCTTTTTTAGAGAGGTCGGTGTAGCATGCTATTTCACTCTTCTTACTCTCTGCTGATCCTCTCTGGTGGAGGTGTTAATAAATTAAAAAATGACCAAAAACCCGGCAGCAAGAAGGCAGAGAGGAAAGGAGGCGAGCATCAGTTAGGTGGTTCTGCAGGATCAATCTCTCCATCCCTCCACATCTTCATAAATTATAAACTGTATCGATTTGTTCGCGTTGACGTATGAACTTATTTTACCAAAAGCCAAGGTTGAAGTGACAAATGGAAAGCAATCTTTTATTAGAGCTGGTGAGTGTCAGCTTTGTACTGAAATAAAACAAACCAAACAAAGCCACACAGGCCTAGATGACCTCCCTTTCCACCCTAAGATTATATGGCAGAGGCAAACAGGGCCAGGCTAACCAGCAAGACTTGATAAAATTCGACAGATATCCTGTCCATTTTCAGTGGCTTAGAACTAGACTGTAGGTTACTTGAGGATGGAAAACCATTATTTACTTTTCCATCCCTCATACTTCTGCTCAGGATGATTCTGAGAGCTTCATTTTGGGATTCATGAGATAACATTTCATTCTCAGCTCTTCCGGCCGTTAGCCATCTTGGGAAGGTCATTTCACCTTTTTAAGTGTCCATTTCTCCACTGCAAGTTGAAAGGTTGATTAAGAAGTTTCTAGTATTTTTAAATCTGGGAACCCTTTCTAATAGTTTTTGTCTCTTTGTATAATAAATTTTTATATCTTCATTAGCACATAATTAGTTCTTCAGATCAGGGACATGGTACTTTTATATAGAGTCCTTCAAAGCATTGTAACGTATACACCCTTATTTTGGCTATTAAGCCTTTTGAAATGTTGAAAAGCTTAAGGATCTCCACTTCTCTCTTTGCAAACCCTTCCCAGGGTCCCCAGGAAAGGAATTGGGGTCCATTCTACGTATCATCTATGGTCCCTTCTAGCTCCCATAGTCAACAAACATTTGTTGAATGAGTCAGGTTCCCACATGACCTGTCAGAAGCTTCTGGAGAACTTTGGAGAATTCTGGTTCTTTGCTGAGAAAGCCCCCATGGTGATTTTCATGAGTAATGAAGTTAAAACCGTGTTTCTGTCTTTGGTAAACCACCCATTCTTATCCACTCCATGGCAATGCGGGTTTCTGACAGTCTTTTCTCAGTTTGATTCTGTGGAATTAGGGTGGGTGCTGAAATGAGTGTTCACTTTGCATTCAGCTCAGCATGCTTCAGAATACTACCTCTCCCAAAGGGTTGTTTGGTATCATCTCCTTGTTTATTTCAGTGGGTGTGCAATAAAATTGTCAATGGCAAGTTGGGTTGAATTGCAAACTCTAGGGGCCAATCCCATTCCACAACCATTCTAGATCATGGCTGAAGGCTGCTAGGTAAATGATGTGTTTGTTTTAGCATGTTTAATATTTCAAAATAAAGTTTTAATAAAGACATGTAAAAAGAGATCCAGAATAATATGACAAATACCCAACACCCTTCTACCCACCACCAGGTAAGAAATTTAAAAAATTAACAATTACAGACCACCTGTACGTTACTCAGTTGCATTGTGTGTGTGTGTTTTGAGGAAGAAAGGAACTCTTGATGAAGGGCGACTTGAGTAAGAGAGTTTTCTTTTTCCTGCTTTATTTTCCGTTTGCATTTGGTAGCTAAAGATAGACATACTACAAGTAGGGAATTAATAACCTTTTCCTGTCATTTAAAATTAGTCTTTCTCAGACTAATGGACCACAACTAGCACGGCTTCTACCAGACTGAGTCTAGTGTAACTAGATGGTGCCCAGCTACCACCACTGACTGCTCTGACAGAGATCACAATAGAGGGTCCCGGACAGAGCTGGAGAAAAATGTAGAACAAAATTCTAACTCACAAAAAAAGACCAGACTTACTGGCCTGACAGAGACTGGAGAAACCCCGAGAGTATGGCCCCCGGACACCCTTTTAGCTCAGTAATGAAGTCACTCCTGAGATTCAGCCTTTAGCCAAAGATTAGAGAGGCCCATAAAACAAAATGAGACTAAAGGGGCACACCAGCTCAGGGGCAAGGACTAGAAGGCAGGAGGGGACAGGAATGCTGGTAATAGGGAACCCAAGATCGAGAAGGGAGAGTATAAACTTGTTGTGAGATTGTTAACCAGTATCATAAAACAATAAGTGTACTAACTTTAGTGAGAGGCTGATTTGTTCTGTAAACCTTCATCTAAAGTAGAATAAAAAAAATTAGTCTTTCTAGAAAATTCTAAAAAGAAAACTTTCTAGAAAGTTCTGTTTACCCTTTGGACCTCAATGAATATAGAGACATAGCTAAGGAAAATAGCACTCTACTCACCAGGATAGAGGAGTGATACAAAATATTTACAGCTTTTATCCTTCCTGAGGGTTTGTTGTAAACATTTGTTGAGGACCTGCTCTGTGCCAGTCATTGTTGTATCAGTTATCGGTTGCCACAATAATGCTGCATAACAAACATCCATAAAACCTCAGTGGCATACACCAATAAGCATTTATTGCTTCTGGATCTGGAGTCAGCTGGAGGCTGGCCGAGTGGCAATTCTGATTTTGGCTGGGCTTCTTCGTATGTCTGGAGGTTAGCTAGCATTTGGCTTCATTTGGGATGGCCTCAGCTGGCATGCATGGGGTGACTCAGTGCTGTTCCGTGTGTCTTGAATCCTCCAGCAGCTAGCTTGGATATGTTCTCATGGAGATGGTGGAAGTGCAGATGAGAATGTGGAAACATGAGTTCTCTTGAGACCTAAGCAGGAACTGCACGCCGCCACTCCATCTCACTGTGTTTTCCAAAGCAAGTGATGTAGGGTGGGGAAATCTACTCTGTCCTTAAGG